TTTTTTAGTTATTGAGATCAAATATACACTAAATGAATTATTTTTGTTTAGAATCGATAAATAATAACATTTTTATTTTTATTTGGGCCACAATTTGAAAAAAAATTAAATTTTAATCAAACTATATGAAACTAATTTAATTACCCAGACAGCACACAACATCTTAAAGACGTCTGTTTTATGTCCTAGTTATGACTGAACGTCTAAAGACCTAAAAAAAACGTTTTAAAGACGTCTTTATAAAGACGTCTTTTAGGACCCATAAATAGACGTCTTAAAGACGTCTTTTAAATGCCTATCTATTTAAAAAATATAAAAAAGAATGATAACATTAAAAAAAGTACTGGCTTACTTGTCGTTTCTAATTTCACAAAATATAATTTTTTTTTAATTTTTTTTATTAATTTACATAATTTACTTATTTTTTTTATTTATTCACGAGCATTTGTTCATTAGAGTAAATAAATATTTGTCAACATAAAAATAATAATAATATTAATAAATATAACTCTAAATAAAATTAACAATTAAAACATATTAAGACAAATTGAATTACGCGATCTTTCAACTTGACCGGGACTTGGTTCAGCGATCGAAGGGAATGTTTTTATTATGCTTTGTCTTTTTTCAACAGTACAATTTAAACAAGGACGTGTATCTGAATGTGAGTATTATTGGGGTTCCGTGGTTCGTGGCTTTCTGCGTTGTCCTTTCGTTGTCATTTTTCGTTCATGTCACATACTTTGATTATGTGGTTCATGTTGAATATGAAAGCCGAGAGGTTAGTTTTTGTTCGTTTTCGTTGATTTTTTTATTTGTATCTTGTGCCGTGGGTTACTGTGAATTTATAAGCATAAAAGTTTACTGCATGTACTGAAAAATATAAGAACCCTTATTAGTGTTTTAAGTACGTCTAGGCGTCTAGAGCTGACTTAGAAGCTTCATCGGATGTAAATATATCTGAATTAGAGTTGAAAGTACAGGAAGATTGCCATTCTTTGATCACCCTTAACCCACACTATCTACTAAAAATCCTATTAAAACGAATTTGACAGAGTGAGCTATAATGCATAATATTTTACACAGCGCAGTTAAAATTATTGCAACCCAGACTGGATCAGAAGAGCATCAGACAGAAGATTAACCACTAATGGAGGAAGAATCCAAAAAAAAATAATTTGTAATATTACTTTTTTTAACGAAATGTTTCAGTATTTTGTTAATAATAATGTTTATAGAAAATATGTGTTTTATTTTGTATAGAAGGAATTTACAGAAGCTTTTAAAACTAAATCCGAGAGTACGTCTTACCAATGTCGTAAAACAGACATATTTAAGATGTCTTAAGAACGTTACTTTTTGTAACATCAGACGTCTTAAAGATGTCTTTAAGACGTCTGGCCGGCGTCATAAGACGTCTTTTAGACATCTGTCATGTTTCTGACAGACGTCTTATGGACGTCTTAAAGTTGTCTTTGTGCTGTCTGGGTACGAGTATTAAAACCAAAATCATAAAGGTGGCGGTGGAGCTGAGGACAGAGCATCTTCCTTCCATGCGAATAGCCCGGGTTCAAATCTGGACAAGGGACTAATTTTCTTTTGTTTATTTTATTTTATGAATTATTAGTAAAAGAACATAAATTATTTTAAAATTAGTTATTTTGTATTAATAACCTAAAATATTATATTTTCGTTAGTTGATCGTAGAAAAAATATACTGTACAACTCCATATCCACTCTTGTTGCTTAAACTACTATTTCAGTTTCGGTATAATTTGTCAATGACAATAACACATTATACAGGATAATTTACCACGCCTCTGACGATTATAGCGAATCGATAAAGTTTTAAAATATACAGTATTATTAATTTTGGGAAAAAAACTTTGGAAAGTTCACATTTTATTATTTACTTACCTGTTCCATTTTTTTTTTATACTTCTTATCGATTTTATCTTTCCCCTTGAGTTAAGAAGACCTTAAATGGTACAGAAAACAATACACTTAGGGCTGGTTGTATAAAGCTTAGTTAAAATTAAGCAGTTTTTGGTGATACATGTTAATTTCGGAATGCTATATATGTGCAGTCTAATGTTTGGGGAAACAAGCCCTAAGTGCTAAATGGTGTTTAGACTGTACCTATGCCATACAAAATTTGTCATGTTTCTCCTCAAACCAAGTTTAACTTTAAGTAAGAATTATACAAACCGCCCTTAAGGAGGCCCTTTCGCCACCAATGTTAAATAAAAAATATTAGATTATGACTAAAATTAATTTTTTTCTAATAGTTGAAGTCCTTATTTATCTAATAGTGAACTTTTAACTATACCTTACCGTGCAAATTTTTGAGAAATTTTTTTTTTAAAATGTGTGTGTTTGTACAGTGTCTTGTGAGAAAGTAAGACTTCAACAACAATTTTCGAATTATAGTTAATTTTACTATTATTTATTGATTAGATGGAGTAGAAAAAAACTAAAAATAAGGTTTTTGAAATATTTAGGTTTTGTTCTTTACAATAAAATATATAGGTTACCGTAGAATTTATTGAGAAATTATTATTAAAAAATCACAAAAAATTTTCAACTAGGTTACTTGAAAATTTTTTGTGATTTTTTAATATTAATTTCTCAATAAGTTCCACGGTTTACTATATATATTTTATTGTATAAAACAAAATCTAAATATTTCAAAAACCTTATTTTTAGTTTTTTTCTACTCCATCTAATCTATAAATAATAGTATAATTCGAGAATTGTTGTTGAGGCACTGTACAAATACATTTAAAAAAAAATTCTCAAAAATTTACAAGGTAAGGTATAGTTAAAAGTTCAGTATTAGATAAATAAGGACTTCAACTATTAGAAAAAAATTAATTTTAGTCATAATCTAATAACTTTTTTTTTAACATTTGAGGCGAGAGGTGTGGCGAAAGGACCTCCTTAAGATATCTTTAACTTTAAGGAATCCTTAAGAAAGTCGTTGCAAACGGCTGTTAGTTTGACACTTTGAATTACCTATTTAAAAATTTTATTTGTACCGGTCCGGTTGGTTCATGGTTCCTTAATTCTATCATAATTTGTTGTTTTATCAGCAAAGTAATTAGAAAAGTATTTATAAAAATAATTGCTAATTACTTTTTTCATGTAATTGTAATTAAATCAATATAATTCCAATTTTTACAACATGTACTTTGTACTTGTAATTAATTCCTTCTTTGAAAAAATACTTTGTAATTGTAATTATTTTTAAAGTACATGTAATTACCCAGCTCTGGTATTGCGAATGTGAGAAATTAAATTAACTAATATTCGTCTGAATTTTTTACAAACAAGGGCAAAATTTAGTTTAAAAAAGAAGAAACGACAAATGTTTACTGACTTTTATAATAGGTTTGTTCCAACAAAGTAAGTGATCTGTGGTTCCAACACGCGCGAAAACCGTAATATTACCGTATAATTCGTGCGCTCTGCCCAAAAATTGTATACAGCTCATGATTTGTACGGTAATATCGTTGTATGTATTATCTTCATACAACGGTAATATTACGGATTTTGCGCGTGTTGGAACAGACAATGTTTTAACGATGTTTTTGAATTTTCGTTTTATATCTTATTACCAAACATTACCAAAAAATCCAAAGATTGGATGAAGTATGTTACAAATATAAATATATTAAAACGTTGACGTGTCTCGGGAAATTTTATAAAAATTATTCACCTTCCTGCTAGCGAATTTATTCCAGTTAAGGTCTCCACCCTGTATATTTATTGCTTCAAAAGTTTGCACTTTTGCAATTTTTTTAGAAAGTTTTTGCAATTAATAATATGTTCCGGGCCTCAGAAAAAGTTGCAAAATAAATTTATAATTATTTCAATTTAATAAATATTCCAACAAAGTTTGAAAATTTTTGTAATTAATATGAATTGAATATCTCTTATGACTGGCCTACTACCTCGATGATTTCACTCCAGTGTTGCCAGAGTCTACTGATTTTACGGTAGATCTACTGATTTGGCAATTGGTCTACTGATAACAAATGTGAATTCTACTGACAAAAAGCCGTTTTCATTATTATTTTTTATTGTATACTTTCTGTGATTTCTTTCAAATTATAATCACATTGTAATTCAAAAGTATCTAATAAAAAGTCACATACAATCTTTCTAACGCTTAATAATAATTAGGCATTCCAAACTGAATGGCTACCAGTGGGTTCTGACGGGTTATGATATGGCAAAATTATGGCAACCCTGTAGGCCTGGTGATTTGACAAGGTCAATGAAATAGATAGTTACATAGATTGATCATCCATAATTTTCAAAATAAACATAAGCTTATGCCTTGAAGTAAAAATATAAGCAATTATTTTTTTTTTAATATCTAAAGGCTAAAAATTGGTTTTAAAACACATTTTTGCTAAACCGATTCAAATTAATAAATATTTGCCAGGCAATATGGCCGATCGTAACCGACCAGCTTTGAGCAATCTATATAACTATATATGTATCATTGACCCCTGTTAATGACAACATAACAACAGGGTTGCCATATCTAAACTGTCATTACCCACTGGTAGCCATTAGAATGTACAAAAAAAATGGAAATGAGTTGACCTATTTTGAATAGAATGTATTTTTTTTAGTGTTTAACTGTTTATTGTTTGAGTTATTTTAGTTTTTAATATGTATTATTTATTTTTTATTTTCAAGAATATTTCATTTCTTAATGAACTGTTTTTTAAATAATACTTAATTATAGGCTTTTGATTTTCTATTATTAATATGATTTGGTTGTAAATTTTTATAGTCTAACATTCTAACAATTCAAAAGAGTGAAAATTACGTATAATTAAGGTTTACGGTAATCGTAAGAGAAACCACTGCAACGTTAAATATACTGATTTCTACAGAATTTTAGACAGGCAGTATACTGAAAAAAAATATGATCTGGCAACACTGTTCTACTCGAAGACAAACTGTCAATTTTAGTCGGAGTCGGAAGTCGGAATCGGAAGTAAGTTTAACACAACTAACCTCACAATCCGAGCGATTGTTATTGTCTCTGCGTTTGTTTTGGTTTAGGAGTAGAAAATAAATTTCTAAAAATGTCTTTTAAAATAAAAGAGGAACACCTGGAAGTATTGGTAGACTTCATGGAAAATCACTATGATTTTGCCACTGGACGGTTATCCACAAACAATGCAAAAGATGAATATCAACAACTATGGCTCAATCTAACTATTAGATTAAATTCTCTAGGATTAGGAGAGAGAACAAGAAAAAAATGGCAAAAGGTAAGTTAAAATCTAGCAAAACAGTTCTATCAGTTCCTCAATTTTTCCATATCAATGAAAAGTTGTGCAAGTAATCTCATTGACTAAAATAAAAAATCAAAATGAATTTAAAGATATAGGGCCTATGACTTAGTATCATCTGCACAGCTTCTAAAGTTATGGAAAAAGTTATTTATCATCAAATGAAAACCTTTCAAGATCGTTATAATATTATTCCTATTAATCAATCTGGTTTTCGCCCTAATCACAGTTGCAACACTGCCCTACTCTCAGTCATTGATGATATCATTAGAGTTACTGGCCAAAATCAACTTAAAGTTTTAGTCTTTTTAGACTATATAGTAAGGCGTTTGACAGAATAAATCATGCGATGCTAATAGGGCTATTACACCATCTAGGATTTAATGAAGATTAGAAATGTCTTATTGCTAACTATCTTAATAATATAATACAGTGTGTCAAATAATAGTTAATAGTTATATAGTTATAAGTTATAATAAATAAGTTACAATAAAGTACAATAATGGAAACCAATTATATAATAACAACCTAGGTGAGAACACCTGTATGTGCTGACAGGGACAAGGAAATAAAAAATAAAACTTGAACAATTTAGGCAAGAAACAGAAAAAACTATTTAAAAAAAATCAATGTATTAAGTCCATTATTCTTGGAATATTCTGATAAACTGCATTATTTTGGAAAATATATATTTTGCTAACTTTACAGAATTTTTTATATTTGTTTAATAATTTTATATGAAGAGGTAGAGCGTTATAGAGCTTTGTCCCTAGATAATTTACACTCTTTTTAAAAAACTCACTATTTGGTTTTGGTACTTTAATGCACATGTTCGATGCAGTTCTAGTGTTATGTCTATGTTCTAAAGGGCCTTTAAAACATTTATTTTTTTGTATATAACAACACACTGGGTGAATATATACACATTTAACATTGCTAATTTATTCATTATATAAAGTTATGGTGGGACACAATCTATCTCTTTTATATATTAACTTCAAGATTTTGTTTTGAATAACATTTAATTGATTTAATGTAGCCATACAGGTCTCCCCATACTAAGATTCCATACCGTAGTATGGATTCTACTAGACTGTAGTGTAATGTTATTAGTAGATCCTGGTTGAGAAATTGTTTTAGAAGATAAAATTTATAAATCAGAAATCTTAAGTTTTTTTTTTGCTAAATATATATATATTATATGGCAGTCCCATTTTAAGTGCTGGTCTATAATTATACCTAAATATTTGGATGTTTCTGTTTTCTGTATGTCTAAATTTTGACATGTTAAGGTTCTAAATTGAGGTCGATCAGCTACTGTCTAAGAAAAAGCAATGTAGTTTGTTTTGTTAACATTCAAAGACAATTTAAAAACATCCAGCCAGTTTTTGACATGTTCCATTCCAGCTATAGCATGTGTCTTAACAGCTTCCCAATCTTTATCACTGAAGACTAGCACTGTATCATCAGCATATGATACAACTTTACCTTGAATATCAATCTGAGTTAAGCTCTTAATGTATAAATTAAATAGTATAGGTCCCAGAACAGTCCCTTAAGGCACTCCGATTTGTATATTTTCAGGGTTACTCACATTGTCTGTTGTCTGTGTGTCAAATAATTTTCAAAAACCTTCAACATGATGCCCCTCACTCCATTCTGTTCAAGAACATTTAAGAGCTTCTGATGTGGCAGCCTGTCAAATGCTTTTGCTAGATCTAGAAATATAGCTATACACTAGTTACCAGTATTCATTTCATCAGTAACATATAAAATCAATTCATGCATAGCATTTCCTGAGTTAAAACCCTCAGTAAAGCCATATTGGTGCTTGGGAAGTAAGTCATTAGTTTTTAAAAAATCTGTCAGTCTTTCACACATTTCTCAAATATTTTGTCCACATTACTAATTAAACTAATAGACCTATAGTTAGTTATTAATTTTGGATTACCAGCTTTATAAATAGGCATTATAATTGAAGTTTTAAATTGTTTAGGTACGATTCCTGTATTAAAAATATAATTAATTATATGCATTAAAGGTTCCAGTAAATACGAATGTAGTAGTTTCAGATGTTTTACTGTTATACAATCAAATCCCGGGCCTAATTGTTTTTTAAACTATTCATGTGTTTTATAATATCGTTTTCGCATATTGGTTTCAGAAAAATTGATTTTTCAGTGACACAGAAAAATCCACATTACATTCAGGGATATTTGTGAACATATTAGTGCCAATAGTCGAAAAGTAGTTATTGCAGTAATTCGCCATTTCATTATCATTTTCAAATTCCTCATTATGTTGGTTAACAATCTGTAAATTGGTATTATTTTTTTTTATGATTTTCATTAGTTGCTTCAGAGAGTAATTGATAAGTTTTTTTAGATCATTTTTGTTTTGGTTTATTTTATTGTTATAATAGTCATTTTTAGTTTTTGATATTAGTTTGTTTAACTTATTTCTAAATGTTTTATAGGGGTCTATTCTGTAACAATTCCTTTATATTTAACGGCCTTTAAAAATATTTTCTTCTTTACTTCTGTCATTATTTAAACGGATCTTTAAATTACATTAGAGGACTATCTTAAAGAAATCTGTTTAAATAATGACAGAAGTAAATTAACGAATACGAACATATTTTTATAGGCCGCCAATATTTTTAAAGGCCGTTAAATATAAAGGAATTGTTACAGAATGGACCCCATAGTGAGTTTCTTTGTTAATAGTATAGTTTTTTGTAGATCTTTTTTAAGTTTATCCCTAGTTTTAATAGAATTAATTAAACCATTTGTTATCCATAGCTTTTATGGATATTAATTTTAATATTTTGAGTGGTTTGACATGTTTCAATGATATTAAGATACGTGTCATAAAAAAGTTGTGTTGCAATTTCTGGATTATTTTCATTGCAAACACTTTCCCAGTTTACAGTTTCGAATTTTTGTTTTAATTTATCAGTATCGATTTTAGTTATAGTTTTATATGTATTGTAGGAACTTGTGTAGTTTTTGGCAGATTGTGAGATATTTATCATAATAGGATCATGATCAGTCATATCATAGCTGATTACATAAGAGTTCACCAATAGATTTTCATTGTTTTTTAAGAATTATATAATCCAAGCATGTTTTACTTTGTGGCCTCCTAATAGTGTTTATGTAAGACATGAAACCATGGGAGTAAAAAGTTGCTTGGTAATCAGTAGTTGCTTGATTGGTTACATTTAGGAGATCAATATTAATGTCCCCTATGAATATTTCAATATTTCTATTTAGGTGATTTGGTATGAAATTTTCTAAATCCCTTATAAATGCTTGTGAAGAGGTTTGAGGAGACCTGTATACACCAATAATGCCAATGGTCCGATGATTGACTTTTAGATTTATTTTAGTGACACAAATATCAGAATATTCCAGTTTAACTATATTTAATTCTGCATTTAGATTTGACCTGACCAAAATTACAACACCATCATTTCTGTTAATGTTACCATTGTTATAGTGGGTGGTGAAGCCATCTAGGTTAAATTGAGAAATAGATTCTAATTGAAAACATTCAGTCAAAACTATTATATCATAATAATTAATTTTATAACTTTCTAGAAATACTAAAAGCTCATCAAAATTCTTTTTAATACTCCTAATATTGAAATGTAAGACATTTAGGAGTTTTTCATTTAAATTAATTTTATTTGTTATATTAGCAGCATCGACTTCATTAATCGAATCAATTTGAATAGAATTTCATAGATTATTTTCTTAATTAATAATCATGAACTATTTGAATGTGTGTACAAATATTAGTTACGTTATGTTATTGATCTGTATACTCGGTTTTATTTTGCAATACCATTTGATAATATTTCAAAGAGGGACAAGTCAAATCCAGTAACAGAATGGTTGTAGTCGTACTCGGTTTTATATTTTTCATTAGAAGTTTTACAGTTCGTACAGTGTATTTTATTCTTTGGACACAAGCTAGCTTCATGTTTGTCACTACAGATGTGGTACACGATTGCATTCTTACAGTTTTCTTTTTTATGGTAGAAACCTTGACATTTAAAACATCTGGGTATCTCCAAATCTTCATAAACCGGAAGTCTTTCTCATCCTATACATATTTTTTTCCTTTGTATCAATTGTTTAAATGTAGTTCCTGAACATTCACAGTATACAGTATTGAAGCCTTTTTTCGTTTTTCTGATATATGTGGTTTTTATTTCACCTGTTATGTCATTCTGTTTCACAATGGACTTGTCAATTTCTTCCTTGGTCATATTCTCCGTAAAATTGCAGATTTTCATTCTGGGTCTTCTCATTTTTGTCAGATCTACATCATATGAATCTTTTAAATTTATCTTGAACAGTTTTTTCCAGAATTTCAGCTTTGTTTGACAGGAAAGTATAACGGAACCATTCTTTCCCATCTTTAATTGTTTAACTCCAACTTTTAAGTCAGTTAGGTCAATATTTGTTCCTAAATCTGTTTTTGTTTTGTTTCCACTCTGTGGTATTTTCGGTTTAATAATAATTTTTGGAGGGTTAGGTTTTCGTTCATTGTCTTCTTTTTGTAACTTCACCACGAGCTTCACCATATCAGCATAATAAATGGTAGGTACAATATTTATCTCTTTTTCTTCAAATTCTTTAATTTTCTCTTGAAGCATTTTTATTATTTAATTTTTACTATTTATTATTTCATTTTTACTATTTATTATTTCATCTCTACTTCTTATTATTTCATCCTTATCTTCATTAGTCTTCTTTAGAAAATCAGTCAGTTCATAATTCCTACATTTTGCACAATGAAATTTCAGAATTCTAGTGCGTAGTGGCATACACCTAATTTCTGTGGTTGATAATTCAGAACATTGGTTGCAGTATATGTTCTTTTGTAGGCTGATGAATAATCTCACACTGTGAGCATTTCATTGCCATTTTTCTTATTAAATCATTTTCTTATTTTATAAACTAAATGTG